AACGTGTACATATGCGAGAGTACTAGTGTGTACAGATATGAGGTTACTAGTGCTTATACAAATGAGATTGCCAATATGTACACATATGAAAGCACTAAGGTGTACACAGGTAAGGCACAAGTGAAGACACTAGAGTATACACTGTACACATGAGAGCAACAGTGGGTACACAGCCAACACAGGCGTATACTGCCATATGTGTATCTTACAGACTCATCCTTACTAGTGCATCTGAGAGACACTTCCTGCTTGGTAAACATTGATACTTAACGCAAACAGTAATTCGTAGTTAAAGCCTCTGTTGGTAATACAGCGGTAATGTTCCAGGTTCGAACCCTGGCTAAGGTCATAATGTGAGAATGGTGTATCAGTGTTTTATAACGACCGACCGAGGAACACATTATTCTGACGTCAACAATACCGCCTGTAGCGGTATTGGAGGAGTTATGGTTCCTACAACCATATGACACCAACAAGACTTGACAATATACTCCACTAACTTAATGGCATCTAACTCTCATAGATTTTCTGAGTCAATGTAAAGTTGAAGAGCCTTTAGAGCACAAATTATAAAGTGTTAGTAATAAACAGCTAGATTTTCAAGAGACTGTTGTAAGTCATACTAGGTGAGCTCAGTACAGTATTATGACCACTATGGTTTTCACCTCAATAAAAAAAATATATATTGTAGGGCAGATGAGTAACTGTACACTTAGAGTCATGAACAGCAGCTCGCCCCTCCTAAACAGAAGCAGTATCGAGCCTAAATGAGATAAAACAACACACCTCACCAGACAACAGTCAGGATAAGTAAGTTCAGACTCATTCTCGAGGCTCACTTTCACAATGGTGATCGAACTTTTGTCCCTGATGTACTGTAATTTTTATCCCTTTAACCGGGAATGAGTAAAGACATTTAGTTGCGATACAGTCCCAAGGTGTTCGTGATGTCTATTATTGGCAGCCATTTTTGCGCTGCAGCATAAGACAGCCAATGAGATGCGCTCTCAGAGACCCAGACAGAGGGGGGAAATGTGTCGTAAGAATCTTTGAGAATCTTATTGTTGACCCTATGTGAGGAAGACGACACTGAGGCCTCACTATGAGGGTGTAAAACACCCTATATTATGTTTACACTACACACACACACACACACACACGCGTCATTTTGTGTTCACATTCACTTAATGTTGTACAATTGAAAGCTAGACTATTGTTACCATGTCTCGTGACTGTTTTGTTCAATACTTAGGCTTACACAAGACACTACGTCATCTTGTGTTCGCTCTCACGTAACAGTCTACGATTGATAACTACACCCTTTAACAAGTTACTAAATTGGTGATGGAATCGCTCGTCCCGCTGCGTTCTTGACCTCTCCTTCTGGTACGTTGACAACTCTCAAAAGGCAACAGTGTGTCAAGAAACTCATCATACACACTGGCTCCTTCATAAGTTCGGATGAGTTAGGTAATAAGACATGACTGACAGTGTTCAGGGATATATCGCGTGTTGTACTTATGGTAACTCAACACTGCTACCATCATGGGGCTTCACTGTGTGGTAGGAGACATAAACAGCTGCTGCTGCTCTACCATAGCGGTGCTCGTACACTTATAACTAAATACTGAAGGTAAATATGATTTTGAACTCTCTCCTCTTTGTACATACAACTATTAGTAAAGTAGCAATTATAATAATTATAATAACGATAAGAGATAATAAAGATAAAAATAAATTAAAAATGGTAAAGATAAAAATCATAAGTATACTTATTAAGACCATGGTGGTGATGGGAACACACCCCCACGTATCGCGGTGTTGTGGTGACGCTACACTACATAACATAGATGATGTCACACACATCTGACAGCGCTTGAAAGAACATACTCTCTGACCCAACCTCAACCTACTAGAGTCAAGCTTCCTTAACTAATGTAAATTTATTTGTATTTTATTTGTATACTTAAGCTTTTTAATAAAAAAAACCCCTGCTTTAACCACATCTCAAAGTTAGACTAAGTAATTATGTAAACAATGGGTGGCGTCATCACCCATACTACCTCCATGACGCTGGGATAAGAGCTCATGTTTACTGTCAGTACGAGTCACCTACACCGTGTACTCGTTATGGACTCTCGCCACTTTTAGGATACTGAGTTCAGCCTCAAATATTCGCAAAGCAAATATTGCTCACAAGAGAAGACGTAATGGTGCACCTAACACGGTTTACCTTTACCTAAAACACAAAAATAACACCTAAAAACAGCATCAACATTACTGTGAGACTCTACATTATTTAGATACTTTCACTTTTTTCATGCAACGATCCTTTACTTTGAGTTCGTAGAGTCTCAGTATAATTATGAAACTACTTTTTAATGAACCGGTTAGGTGCCCCTCACCTCTTCAGTTAGTAGAAGTAGTCGCAGTCGAACCCTGGATGTATCTGTGAACTACAGTTTATGAAAGTTAAGAGACGTACCAAGTATTACATTGAGTAACAGTTAAATGGGACTCAAGATCTCTTATAGTAGCCAGTATTTGGGGTTGTGTATACACTACGAGGTCAATGTTTACGTTAAACACTTGTAGAATTAAATACACACAGATGTCACAGTGACGTTGTTCAGGCTGTACACGAAGCTGATGAAGTAAACATCTTATACTGTCTCTGACTCACGCAGAATATTACACGTTAAACAAAATAAAAATTAAGTAAACACAAGAGCTCAGAACTCTAAATTAACCTATCTTGTTGGCACTAATTTTTCCATTATTACATATCTACATACAACTACGCCGACGTCCCTTTATTAGCAAACAGAACACGAATTGCTGCAACACGGACTAAATGAACACCAACAACATAATACTCACAGGTCACCGAGCTTGTCAAGGATCACTTCTTATCTTCACGTTCAAGTCTCCAAAACTGTGTTCAATGTTACTCGCGTTTGTTCCTCAGGACTAACAGGTTCCTCGTCACAGAGAGTCCACAAGGTGAGGAGAAGCGTGTAGTAAGGTGAGCACCCCCGGCGAGGGAGAGTGAGAGACTGAGGTGTGGTGGTGGTGAGGCTCTGTGGGCTAGCCAGGGTAGCGCGCCCAACTAAGTTAGCGTAGGAGTGCTGCCCACCCTGCGACCCACAGTCCTGAGGGGCGGGGCTGACCCTCACTTAGCTGTGAGGGAGGGGGGGGGGGAGGGGTGGTCTATGCTGCCACGCACACAACTGAGGGAAGATGACAGTGTAGGGTAGGACGGGAAGGTGCTGTGAGAGGTGCAAGTGACTTTATATCTACACAGAGAGCAAGTCTTAAGTGTAGGTCATCTGCTGAACCTAATAGTGCTTGCGACTGTGGCAGAGAACAGGTAGTGGGGTAAATTCTGCATCTGTTTGAGTGTTTTTCTGTTTTCGTTCTTTGATTGTTCAAATTCGTTTAAATATAATTATGTTTATATATTTAAGTTCGGGTGCTGGAGTGACCATGTTGATGAAATTATGTGTATAATTATAATATGTAATATATGTACTGTAACAGTCGATGAGAGACTAAAAAGTACGAGTATTGACGCGTGTAAGCCCGGATTGCTATGTGAAAGTCACGTGTCATTGAGATTAGTGAGTTTGCTTAGACAGAGGAAGTAATGTGGAAGATGATGGACTCCTTCACCCACAACCGAGCGTGTAACCCTCCCCTCCCTCCAACCATCTCTTCCTCCCTTCTTCCTCTTACTTACCTCTTCTTCCTCCCTCCTTTTCCTCCAACCATTCTCCAGTGACGCATCTTAATGTATCATAACACACACTTGATAAAATTAAACTCTCCAGCACATTTCCTGGTATAAAGAAAATACCCAGACTGAGGAAACACTCATGGATCTGGACCTATAAGATACAAGTACAGCTTCTCACCGTCCGAGAAGCTTGCAATTATTAATTTTGACATCATCTACAGTATAACAAACTATAACCTTAAATCTTTAATTAACTAGTGAACACCCCAGCCTACTAGTTGGTACACATTCCAGATACCTTGTTCTTGAGTAGAGGGAAAGGTTTTGACAATGAGTAAAAGACCGCCATTATTTATAAAAAATAATAATAATAATAAACGGTTTATTAATAGAGTTGCAGCCACCGGCTGCAACTCTATTAATAAACCGTTTATTATTATTATTATTTTTTTTTATAAATAATGGCGGTCTTTTACTCATTGTCAAAACCTTTCCCTCTACTCAAGAACACCGGGTTTATGACTACATCTACTGAGGGGGATAAAACGTGAAACTGAAGACCAGGCTCAGCCACACACATGACGTCAGCCGTTGATAACTACGTGGCGTTTGACTAAATGTACGGTATTTATGGTATTTTCCAAGAGGTGAGTCAGGTAAGCTATACGCTTGTGTAGGGTATTGCTGTATGGACAGGCGGAGGCAGACACACCATAGCAGATTGGAAATTACATGATTTTAATATTTATTTCCATATATAGAAAGAAGGAAGAGTGGAGGCAGGGTCTGGACGCACCTCAGGGATGGTCGTCACCGTCGACGCCTACAGTGTGTGGCTGGTCACTGTGTGTTGACGTTGGGTGACGCCCCGGACACCTGTCTGCATATAACATTACCACTTCATATTAATGTCCAAAAACCGATCAAAGTCTCACACAGTATTGTTGATATGCTTTCGCTGATGATTTCAGTTTAACACAAATGTTTAGTTCTCTTACTTAACTGGAATCTTGAAATTTTGAGAGAGAGAGAGAGAGCATTTTAGCTTCAGTTACGCTAAGTTCAACAAAACAGACACCAAACATTATATACCACATCCCTGAGAGTGTGATGACATATAGTACTCAGTCTGTCCCTCCACACCCTCGCCCGCCCATAACAAATATTGTCTCCAGTCAGTTATCGCAGAAGACTACCCACAGGTTTTATATGTCACTAATTTCCAGACTATGTTCGAGAGTAAACATTCCAACAATGTTCTCACAGTCACACCCAGCCAGTCACAATCCCAGTCACAGTAACGGCCACAGTCACAGTCAAACCCACAGTTACATTCATAGTCACAGTCCCAGTCACAGTCAGAATCACAGTTACACCCAGTCACAGTCACACCTAGTCACAGTCACACCCAGTCACAGTCACACCAAGTCACAGTCCCATTCACAGTCACACCCAGTCACAGTTCCAGTCACAGTCACAGCCACACCTAGTCGCAGTCACACTCAGTCACAGTCACACCCAGTCATAGTCCCAGTCACAGCCACACCCAGTCACAGCCACACCTGTCACAGTCCCAGTTGCAGTCACAGTCACAGTCACACTCACAGTCACAGTCACACCCACAGTCAAAGTCATACCCACAGTCACAGTCACACCCACAGTCACAACCACAGTCACAGTCACACCCACAGTCACAGTCACACCCACAGTCACATCCACAGTCATAGCTACAGTCACACCAAGAGCCACAGTCACACCCACACTCACACCCACAGCCACAGTCACACCCACAGTCATAGTCGCAGTCACAGTCACACCCACAGTCATAGTCATGGTCATACCCACAGTCACAGTCACAGTCACATCCACAGTAACAGTCATACCCACAGTCACAGTCACACCCACAGTCACAATCACAGTCACATCAACAGTCACAGTCATACACACAGTCACAGTTACAGTCACAGTCTCACCCACAGTCACAATCCCAGTTACAGTCACAGTCACCCACAGTCACAGTCGTAGTCACAGTCAGTCACAGTCCAGATCATACCCACAGTCACAGTCACAGTCATACCCACATCCACAGTCACAGTCATACCACAGTCACAGTCATAGTCACAGTCACAATCCACCCATAGTCACAGTCACACCCACAGTCACAGTCACAGTCACAGTTATACCCCAACCACAGTCACAGTCATAACCACATCCACAGTCACAGTCATACCCACAGTCACAGTCACAGTCACACCCACAGTCACAGTCAGAGTCACACCCACAGTCACAGCCACAATCACAGTCACAGTCACACCCATAATCACAGTCACAGTCACAGTCACACCTACAGCACAGTCACACCCAGAGTCACAGTCACAGTCACACCCACAGTCACAGTCACACCTCACAGTTACACCAACAGTCACGTCACAGTCACACCCACAGTCACAGTCACACCCACAGTCACAATCACACCCACAGTCACAGTTACAGTCACAGCCACACACACAGTCACAGTTACAGTCATATCCACAGTCACAGTCACACCCACAGTCACAAACATACCCACAGTCACAGTCACACCCATAGTCACACCCACAGTCACAATCACAGTTACAGTCACAGTCACACCCACAGTCACAGTCATAGTCACAGTCAACCCACAGTCACACCCACAGTCACAGTCATACAGTCACAGTCATACCCACATCCACAGTCACAGTCATACCCACAGTCACAGTCATGCCCACATCCACAGTCACAGTCATACCCACAGTCACAGTCATAGTCACAGTCACACCCATAGCCACAGTCACACCCACAGTCACAGTCACACCCACAGTCACAGTCACAGTCATACCCACATCCACAGTCACAGTCATAACCAGCCACAGTCACCACATCCACATTCACAGTCATACCCACAGTCACAGTCACATCCACAGTCACAGTCACACCCATAGTCACAGTCACACTCACAGTCACAGTCACACCCACAGTCACTGTCACAGTCACAGTCACACCCACAGTCATGGTCATACCCACAGTCATAGTCACACACCCACACAGTCACAGTCACATCAGTCACAGTCACACCCACAGTCACAGTCACACCCACAGTCACAGTCACAGTCACATCCACAGTCACACCCATAGTCACAGTCACAGTCACACCCACAGTCACACCCACAGTCACAATCACAGGCACAGTCAGTCACATCCACAGTCACAGTCATAAACCACAGTCACAGTCACACCCAGTCACAGTCACACCCACAGTCACAATCACAGTCACAGTCACAGTCACATCCACAGTAACAGTCATACCCACATCCACAGTCACAGCCATACACCACAGTCACAGTTATAGTGACAGTCTCACCCACAGTCACAGTCACACCCAAACAGTCACACCCAGTCACAGTCACAGTCACACCCACAGTCACTGTCACAGTAACAGTCACCCACAGTCATGGTCATACCCACAGTCACAGTCACACCCACAGTCACAGTCACACCCAGTCACAGTCACACCCACAGTCACAGTCACACCCACAGTCACAGTCACAGTCACATCCATGTCACAGTCATAGTCACAGTCACAGTCACACCCACAGTCACAGTCAACCACAGTCACAATCACAGTCACGAGTCAGTAACATCCACAGTAACAGTCATACCCACAGTCACAGTCACACCCAGTCACAGTCACACCTACAGTCACAATCACAGTCACAGTCACAGTCACATCCACAGTAACAGTCATACCCACATCCACAGTCACAGCTCATACATCAACAGTCACAGTTATATTGACAGTCTCACCCACAGTCACAGTCACAGTCAAACAGTCACAACCCACAGTCACAGTCACAGTCACAGTCACACCCACAGTCACAGTTACAGTCACAGTCACAGTTACAGTCACACCACAGTCACAATCACAGTTACAGTCACAATCACAGTCACAGTTACAGTCACAGTCACAATCACAGTCACAGTCACACCTACAGTCACAGTCACAGTTAGATACAGTCACAATCACGGTCACAGTCACACCCACAGTCACAGTCACAGTTACAGTCACAGTCACAATCACAGTTACAGTCACACCCACAGTCACAGTCACAATCACAGTTACAGTCACAGTCACAATCACAGTTACAGTCACACTACAGTCACAATCACAGTTACAGTCACAGTCACAATCCACAGTCACAATTCCAGTCACAGTCACAGTTACAGTCACAGTCGCAGTCACACCCAACAATCACAGTCACAGTCACACCCACAGTCACAGTCACACTCACACCCACAGTCACAGTCACGAGTCGGACCCACAGTCACAATCACAGTTACAGTCACAGTCACACCCACAGTCACAACCCACAGTCACAGTCACACCCACAGCCACAATCACAGTCACACACCCACAATCACAGTCACACAGTCACACCAACAGTCAAACCGACAACCACAGTCACAGTCGCACCCACAGTCACTGTCACACCCACAGTCACATCCATGGTCACAGTCACACCAGTCACAGTCACAGTCATACCCACACTAGTCACAGTCACACCCAAAGTCGCAGTCACAGTCACAGTCACACCACAGTCACAGTCACAAACACAGTCACAGTCGCACCTAAGTCACAGTCACACCCACAGTCGCAGTCACAGTCACAGTCACAGTCACACCCACAGTCAAGTCACAGTCACAGTCATACCCACAGTCACAGTCACAGTCACACCCACAGTAGCAGTCACAGTCACAGTCACACCACAGTCACAGTCACAACGCACAGTCATAGTCGCAGTCACAGTCACACCACATTCATAGTTGCAGTCACAGTCACACCACAGTCACAGTTGCAGTCACAGTTGCAGTCACAGTCACACCCACAATCACAGTCATACCCACAGTCACACCCACAGCACAGTCACAGGCACAGTCACCCACGTCACACCCACAGCCACAGTCACAGCCACAGTCATACCCACAGTCACAGTCACAGTCACACCCAATAGTCAGTCACAGTCACACCAGTCACAGTCTCACCCACAGTCACAGTCACACCCATAGTCATACCCACAGTCACAGTCACAGTCACACCCACAGTCACAGTCACACCCACAGTCACAGTCACACCCTAGTCATACCCACAGTCACAGTCACAGTCGGACCCAGTCACAATCACAGTTATATCACAGTCACACCCACAGTCACAGCCGCCACCCACAGTCACAGTCACACCCACAGTCACAGTCACACCCACAGTCACACCCACACCAAGGTCACAGTCACAGCCACACCCAGAGTCACAGTCACACCCACAGTCACAGCCACAGTCACACCCAGAGTCACAGTCACACCCACAGTTACACCCACAGCCATAGCACACCAGAGTCACACCCACAGTCAGCCGCAGCCACAGTCACAGTCACACCCACAGCCACAGTCACAGTCACACCCACAGTTACACCCATAGTCACAGCCACAGTCACATCACACCCAGAGTCACAGTCACAGGACCAATCACCACGTTCTGTGTTTGTCTTCAGTCTTTAGTCTTCTCGGCGGCCTCAAGCCTTCTGTTATCATGGACGTCTTCAGTCCCTCAGAAAATTGTGCTGCAAATCAGTCATTGACAAGACTGATCAACTGAATATTAGCCCCCAATTTATTTCAACCAAATTTTAACAGACCTGACCTAAACTAACGTAATGTAATTTAACTTAACCTAACGCCAACATCATCTAGTCTAGCCTAACCCTAGCGCTGATGAAACCGAACATGGCTCATCTTTTTATAAGGGAAATATTAAATTTCCCTTTTTATGATGTTCAGTACGCTATTTTTCTCCTTGCTTTCGGATATTATTTCATATGATAACTGATTAGTTGATTTGTGAAAATATATAGAACGAAAGAATAATTTATAAAATGATGAAGAGCTACTGAGTGACCGAAGACGAAACTCACTTTAACCAATCAGGAACGACGGAAGTTTAATTTAGTTATGGAGGTATTACTACTTTTTCATATCTAAGGGATTTAAATGAACGAAAATCAACATATAATTAAACGTCTTCCACGAGAGAAAACCCCCGAACCGTTACCATGGCAGGGTAGATATCGAACTTTTGATAATGTAGGTACCGGTGGAGTTCGTCTCATGTCATTGTTTTCTTTCACCCAGAATGCTTTATGAATAATTATCATTGCAAAAACAATTATGATGACAACCATAACGTCAGTTTTGGTATCATTTGCACCAAGTGTTTATCTATAAAATTAGGAAATCCTCAAACCTATTCTCGAATTATTTTGGGGACAGACAGATGGAGAGACAAGCGAGGTTACCCTAAAACTATATCTTGCGCTTGTGAGACCTCTCTTGGATTATGCGGTTCAGTTCTGGTCACCGTACTACAGAATGGATATAGAATCCCTAGAAGACATTCAGAGGAGAGTGGCAGGACTAATCCCGGGCATTAAGAACTTTCGTACAGAGACAAGTTAAAACATCTTAATTTGCGCTCCCTCGAGAGACGTACAGCGAGGGGCGATATGATCGAGGTGTATAAATGGTGGTCAGGGCTAAACAAAGGTGATATGACAAAGGTACTCAAAGTATCCAACCAGGAGCGAACTCGTAGCAATGGTTTTAAATTAGACAAGTTTAGATTTAGACTCCAGTAATATTTGCTAGGTTAAGGTGGGTCTCGACTCTTGTCCTATATGTTGCTGGTTCCAGGGCATCCCTAATATACCCAGCTGTGCTTGCGTAACGAACTTTACAATTGGGGACATGGAGGTGGTTGAGTGTATTACTGGCCATACTGATCCCCATGTGTACTGACAGCTCAGTATTAAGTGTGATGTGTCTGTACTAGTAAAGGGACACCACGGGACCCACTTCACATAAAAAAATCTGAAGGATAGTAGGGAGGTAGACAAGGCCCATCAGAGGACCAAGTGGCGCTACAGTGTACGTGTGACCACACAAAACCACCATCTCAGATCATGAATATACAATGATAGTGGGCCAGGTGGTCCTCCTACGGTGGTGTTTCTACGGGCCACCGAGGCCGACTGGTCTATTTCCTTGTAACTCAAACTCAAGATGAATTTTTAATTGGTATAATTTTTTTAAGCAAATAAATATTTACATAGTGGATTTCTATACTTCCACCACACAGCAGTTGACTCCAATATCCAAGAAAGTTAAGATAAATGACAGGTCTACGAGGGCCTGTGACCTTACTCTATTAGTTCCTCGAAGATGATATTGATATTGACCCTGAAACAGTTTGTTTAGCGGCAAAACTTTAGCCTGTAAATTACAGATACGAAGTGAACAATAACAACAATATTGGCATGGATGAGCCAAGCGGGGGCCTGAACCCCCTTAATGGTAAATGTTTTCCTGGTAATTTCGTGAAATATTTATTTCTGTGAACTTCAGCTTAATTTTCCATAATCTAGTATTATTCAATTATTAATGGACCATCTTTCATTAGATTATTCTATACGACTTTAGACACAATAGCTTACTATAAATCTAATTATAAAATGATAAACAAACAAAAAATTTAACTCAAGCAAAATTACCTGATCGTTATATGACAAACAAACTGGATGCTGTGATGTGAAAACCCCCATTAATATGCGTTTTTTTCTTTCTTTTCTCATTATATGGTCAGGTCCAGCCTCCAAGGATAATTGATAATTCACTTCTGTGGAATTTCTGTGCTGACGGAAGATGAGGTTTTTTTGGTTGGTGGTGACGAGGTAGCTCACACTAACTCGTGTCTCTAAATAAACTATGAATTACGTGTCTTGTCTCACAAATACCGTAAGGTAGAGGAAAAATATTATTATTTTTTAAGTATGAAGTAATACTGAGTGGGGGTTGCTGGTTCGTTCCTGGGTACCCTAGTCGACCCATCATGGAATGGGTACCTGCCTTTTCAGTTGAGGAAGTGGAGGCGGCTAAATTAATGTAATGACGATCATACTGCTTCTTTGGGTACCGAATGTTTAGTATTTATTTTCACACACCAAAATTGTCTCTGAGAGATGTCTCATATATACGGAGAGGAGTAGTTTCCAGGTTTGAGTGTTGTGGTACCGGGGCATCTCTCGTCACGCTGGTCACAACATCAAAAAGAGGGAAATACGAGGGGCTGTTTAGTTTACAGTGAGTATTGTTCGTATTCATCCCACGTCTAGGTCGGGCGAGGTTGAATTGAAACAGTTTATTTAGCCAGAAAAACATAGATACAGAGTGGATAATAATAATGTTAACATGGCTGAGCCAGTTGAGAACCTGAGCTCTCCTGTAGGCACCTGATATATACTATACATTTATTCAAGGAAGTATTATGTAACATTTAGTATTATCTGGAATAGTACAATAGCATGGTGGTAATAAGAACATCTCATAATGTTACCACGGTTATCACTTCAATATTTATTAATTATATCTTATTTTATTTTTTTATTTATTTATATACTGTATACATAAATTACAGTGGAATTGAAAAACATAAGTATAATGGGGATCAGTACAACATGGGTTGTACAGTAATAAGGTTGAACAAGAGAACAGAGCTGTCAGGATTATGTCTAGTTGGCAATTATGTTTATTGCAATGGTAATTACTTATCTATTTACATGATAATTTCCACAAACGGTTTTGATGGTACAATAAAAGCAGGTACTTTAAATATAGTAGGTATTACAAGAAATATTAATACTTAGAGAATAGATATCTTTTAAGAGGTGATTTAAAGGAAGGAGCGTAGTCTTTGCTCGGATGGGGTGTTGTTCCACACCTTCACACAGTGATATTTTATGGAGGTCTGGGACTGAGAGGAGCGCATGGGGGTGGCCTTAGTAGCTCTGGGTGCTTTAAGTTGCATCTCTGATTAGTTTCAGCTTTAGAGTAGCTTATGATGGTTGAGGTTGGAAGACAGGCGGCCACGCGAGGTACATGGCTTGGCTTTACACACGCGTCTTCTATCAAATGGCATCCTGGATATCTTCTCCCTAGTACAAGCCAAGCTAACAAGTGCACCTACAGCATTTATGGTAAACAGACCGTTATGGAGTCACAAGCAAGACATGCGGCCAGCCCAGCTTGTTGTCCCAGCGGCCATGACGACTTTTTCTGGCAGTGCCCAGAGCATTGTTGTTGATGGAACTCACTCCCACCCACCCACACCTTACTGCCCTTTATAGCGCTCTATATCCGTATTCTGAGTTGTTGTTTTTTGCACCAAATAATTATAATTCGGGACGTTACGGTGCATGCGATGTGTAACATGAGATATGTTTTATCCCAGGGGATAAGACCACACTGCCTCGTGGGCGTGCGTGGCCGCTGCATCACGCACCTGGCGAGGTGAAATGTTTGTTGTCAATATCGATCTGGTTACCAGTTTCTTGCAGCTTCTGAATGGCTTGTGGTTCCATATAACAATTTGTATTTAGACAGATGTTGATCATCTTCATATTGTAACGACAATCGTACGTTTTTTATAAAATGTAAATAATTTTATTGGATATCGTAAATATATCACTAACCTAAGTTATAAAATATAGTAGACATTACAAACTGTATCTGACATTCTGCGAAAGTCTAATTTACAATGTCACCGTTTTAAGTTGCGGTAAAATTTTGAATTATGTGCTTATCTTTAATATAAAATGGTGCTATCCAGCATGACTGTAACATCCCTCAAATGTGATATGTAAATATTCTAACAATAACACCCGCTGTCTCACGCTCTGCTCCATGTCCAAGACCCACCTCACCATGACGCAACATAAAACTCTCCTTGTGGTATGTGACTAGTGGGCTGCGCTACACACCTTGGTCTCACACCTCGTGCGATAAGCTGTTCATTTTTAACGCTATCTCAAGATAGGGTGTTTTATGGACCCTCCACTACACCTACACGGCTCCACACCGTCAGCCTGCCAATACACAAAGTTCTTTATATCACAGCCTCTGTTAGCACAAAGACATATAGCAGACCCTTCCATGTGTAACGACCATTTACAAAATGAGAACATCCGACAATCTTAAGTTCATGCACAAAAATGTTATAGATCACTTATCAACTGAAACACCCTTCACGCCAATCCGTTACCTGTGCTGAGAACCAGTCAGGCTATATATTACTCGGGTCACCTTCGTCTTACTGTCTGCCTCACAGTAAACTGTTGGTCCAGACCAGAGCAATGAATAATGATGTGATGGTGGTGGTGATTGTGATGATAATGATGATACTTGTGAGGATAATGATGATGTGATAATGGTGGTAGTGGTGATTGTGATGGTGATGATGATGATAGTTGTGTTGATGATGATGGTTATGAAGATGA